CTGTTCCAGTGGTTATGTCACATTCCATTTTTCGCATTGCTACTATTATCCATCATCATTCCGTTATTACAACATTCCATTGGTGGCACCATTCTTCAGCGGAAACGATATGAGACATCACAATATTACAAAATCCCGTGTTTATTACCGTGAATATAGTAATTTTGATAGCTCTACGTCGTCTCAATCGATCCTTAGTCGAGCTACAACCGATGTTGATCAATTCCAATCACAACTCAAGCTTCATAGTAATTGGACAAGCTCACAATTGAAAGCCAAATTCGGCCTTTATCATCATACTGTTAATAATTTTAATGCCAAACATGTTGTTGTCATTACTTGGACCGATATGGTACCTTATCCTGCCAGCTATTACGGTAGATTCGGCTTCGTAAGTATCAATTTTATCGTACTTGTAATGATAGTAATTTTATGTTATGTATAATTTAGTGCATAGTATAGATAATAACAGTTTGAATAGTCATTATTATACTGAACAAAACATCTCTTATGAACTTCTATCATTAGACCAACACCTTCCAATTAGTCTTGGTTAGCAATGGTGAGAATACTTTCGCCTTATATAACTATGAAGTTAACGGAATGCAATGGTGGAGAAGATTCTACGGTCTACGTGCTCGCGTTGGATATATCACGGGCAGTACAAATATCCATCATGAAATTGCTTTATCTGGCTATCGTAATATTCTCAAGATTGATTCATTACTTGGAAATACTGGCATGACTGGTAAATGGGCATTCCGTTTAGATCCTGATACCTTCCACATTAATTACGTACAGAAATGTTTATCATGGTACTACCAGCAGAATCATATCTCGTACTATAATCGATATATGCCTTCACCATGTCCATGTACTTGGTGGCAAGTATGGTTTGATCGTCGATTTAACTGGTGGGGTAGTGTAGCACGTTATCCTTGCGCACAATCTAGATTTTCATCTCCAACACAAGGTGGAGGTAACACGAGGGTAAGTTAAGATTTTCTCCGATAAATATTATACTATCTCTAACAGCCGATAGTTTTCATGTAATATAAGAATAATTAGTAAATCAACTGGTGATTATATTTAAATTTAACGGAATATTTGTTGAACTTAGATGCATCGTGTATGCTGTTATACAACTAATTTCCGACGTTTCGGAGCTTTAATTACTGGATCGCCTAGCGGTGGAACTCTAACATATGCCAATAAACAATTACGAGATACAGATAAAGAGGCCTATCAGAATTGTTGTATCAATTCACGATTATGTTTCCTATACTATCGTAAGAGAGATAGCGGTACTTGTCGAGGCTATCGACCACCAAGAAGAAGTAAGTTAGACAATAAATTTACATTCATTTATTCAAGTGATATTCTTATAGTCTGCTAATACACCATTAGAGATTTAGCTTTTATTTTACATCAAGTCTATCAGCTAGTGTTAGGAAGACTATAAATAACTTGTGATATAGGTCAAGTAAAATTACACATACAAATATTAAGATTATCCACCTATTTAAGCGTTAATTAGATCTATTTGAACTCAAAGTACATCCATTTAATTTCATGATCAATTCTAATCGAATTTAATTTTATTAAAATTTACTTACACTATAGCCTGGTTCTGGGGCGATCCTCATATTAGAACTATGGACGGAAAACAATACACGTTTAACGGATTAGGAGAATACCAACTACTCAATTTACAAAATAATTATGTTGACGTACAGGCTAGAACATCTCAAGCTCTTATTAATGGTACACGTTCAGCTAAAGCTACCGTATTTTCGGCTTTTGCTGCTAAGCAGAATAATTCAGATGTTATCCAAGCAACTCTCAATGATCAAAATAACGGCCTAGATATTCTCGTCAATGGCAACATACCTTTAACATTAAACGATTTAAGTCAAAATGAAACTCGTGAATATAATAACGTCGACTTAGCCCTATCTCAAAATGGATCGTTAGTTGTTGCGTTTTCATCGGGTGCCAGCTTAGAAGTCACTGTCTTACCTGGTCTAATCAGTATAGCAGTCAACGCTCCAGCTTCTTTGCAAGGTAATTCTAAGGGTTTGCTTGGTGTATGGAACGGCAATATGAACGATGATTTTACACGTCCCGATGGCAGTAAGATTTTAATTAATGCTACTGAATTCGAAATTTATTATGATTTCGGAGAGAAATGTAAGTTTTAATCTCAATTCATAGTAATTCTATAATTTCGTATTACAACTCAAATAAAACAAGTATTTTGAATCATCACTACGATACTTTTACGTTTTACTATTATTAGGGAAAATTAATGAAACTCAATCATTATTCACTTATCCTCCTGGAACAACATATCAAAACTTCACGGATCCCGACTTTCTACCGCTATTTTCGGATAATATTACTGCCTTGTTCGGTGGCGATAATGACTTATATCAACAAGCATTAAGTTCATGTGGTAACAATATCCCATGCTTGTATGATGCTAGTCAAACTCTAAATGTAGAATTAGCTGTACAAGGTAAAGAGACAGCTGACGGCTACCAAGAAGCGGAAAATGAAGCAGGTAAAATATCCCATCATTTTTCTAATTATTTAATTTCTTCTGTAATATTACATCTAGCAATTTTATTAATATATTTAAATGATATTACTGTATACTGATTTTGTCTTCCAACAGAAAATTTCCCACCTGTTATTACTGGACCTACTACACTAAATGTTACCTATGGAAAAGTCTACACTACAGCATTAAGCGTGTCTGATCCTAATACTGGCGATACTGTGACTGTTACTGCAGATAGCGCTCCTCTAGGCGCATCATTTAATCCTACAACTTATCAATTTACTTGGAATGTTAGTACTTACACCAATATTAGCATCCAAATTGTGGCCAAAGATTCTAAGAACGCAGCCAGTATCTACAGTCCTGCACAAATTATCATGTGCTATTGCGCTAATGGTGGTACTTGCGACTACACGTAAGTTATTAACCATATTCACTAATTCAGTTAGAGCAAAAATATATTTCAATGTCTTAAAACAGAACTAGATTGCATTTAACATCTGTAAATAATATCTACCATGCTAAACGCGCTTTGCTTCTGCTAATAGTGGAGAAACCGTAGAAGATGGTAGCGTATCTCAAGTGCCGTGTATTTGCTCTGCTGGATGGAATGGAGATCATTGTACTGTCGACTTTGATAGCTGCGCTAATTTCCCGTGCTACGAGAATGTAACTTGCACAGATAATGTAGCTCCATTAACCGGTTATACATGCGGCAGTTGCCCACAAGGTTATACAGGAGATGGTATATTGTGCTCTGATTTCGATGAATGCGCTAGTTCAGCCACAAACAATTGCCAGCAAGTCTGTGTCAATACTGTCGGAGGCTATACCTGCGATTGTCAATCTGGTTATCAATTAAATTCTGACGGAAGGACTTGCACGGGTAGGATTCATATCAATCACTTTTATGCCTTACTGAATTATAACTTTTTTTTTCATAGTAATTACAGTAGATATCTGGAATAAATTTCCTAACCAAGTCCTTTCATGCAAAATAGCATAATAGTAAATGATTTGATAGCATATCAAAACTAGTACTCATCAATTTTTATTATGATACCCACAGATATTGATGAATGCTTCAAGAACTCACAGATCTGTGGCCAAATCTGTACCAATACCAATAGCAGCTATATCTGCTCATGTAATTTTGGATTTAACCTCAACAGCGATAATAAAACGTGCACAGGTACCGTCTATTATGAAGCCTACCATTGCATATCCTTGCTATCATAAATGTAAAGAACCTTTAAAAAGTATTTCCTTCGAGTTCTTTGAAGTAGCTTGTACCGTAAATTCTTTTAACAGTATTGAATTGCTTGTAATTATAATTTTCATAACGTTTAACATGTAATGTATCAAATTATATGTTACGTGTTCTTGTTTACGCATAACACAGTTAATAGATTAATCTTCAAGGTATTTCGAGCTAATGTATCGAAACTTTGCTTTTACAACTTATTATAGCGGCAACCGCCTGTAGTAGCAATAATAACTGTTCTGAGTCCTGTACTTATATCAACGGAAAAGATCAATGTGCATGTAAGAATGGATATGTATTGCAGTCCGATGGCGTAAATTGCGCAGGTAACAATTATGAAGTTTATAATCCATCGGTTTTGTTCACCGTCAGTATCGTTATCATCAATCTTGATGAAAAATCATTTCTACATTTTAGCATAAAAATATATACTAATATTGTGATAATGAGCTAGTTCTAACAGCGGAATATTCAATACTCCATAGATCGTGATGAATGTGCAGATAAGACAGCTACATGTCAAATGTTATGTAACAACATAATCGGTGGATATCAATGCGGATGCCCAAGCGGATATACACTTAACATAGACGGAAAAACATGCTCTGGTATGTTACTGGAAGCTTTTTATTTCAATAAAAAATTTGCGTAAATTTCAGCCGTATACATTATATACATAAATGCATTAGTCATTACAGTTATATCGATAGCTAATATATTCAAAGAATACTTATCTATTCGATGACATTCGTAGATATAAATGAATGTAGTACATCCAATCCTTGCCATTCCAATGCCAGCTGTCAAAATACACCTGGATCTTATACATGCTCATGTAATTCAGGTTATACAGGAAATGGCAAGACTTGTACCGGTAAGATAGATTTTCACTAATTACTAGGAAGTTTAACGCTTGGCCAATTCCAAAGAAAAATAACTCATTATTAAAGTTAGACGGTTGTGCAAATAATTTATACCTCGTATTATTGATACGTTACAGACATAAATGAATGCAGTAGCAGCAGTACATGCGGCAATAATGCCAATTGCTTTAATTCTGCTGGATCATACAACTGTCAATGCAAGCCTGGATTTTATTCCACATCATCTTCCTCAAATATGTTAAACGGAAATAGTTGTCAAAGTAATTGCTAAAATTGATATTATGTTAGGGTGCAGATAATCGAGTAAACTAATCTGCGCTTACATCAACTACAAAGATCCCGTTAATGCCATTTGTTAATTTTTAACTGAGTAGAAGAGACTGCTTACGAACTTACCGTCAGAATCGATGCAACATTTAATGCTCAATTTAACGATAAAAATAGCGCCGCTTATAAAAACGAAATATCTAAATTACAAGCTGCTGTAAGTAACTATTCGTATGACATGAGCAATATTTACTCTTTTATTTATACGCAGATAACTTTATACAAGTATTCTAATGTTTGTAGTATCACTCAAATCTTTTCTACGTAAAAAGATGATATATGTTTTATAACCAGCATTTAAGCATAACTCTTGTCTTGACCGCCTTAATCAATTACAATACCACAAATATTATAATAGCTATCGAGACTAAAACTTATTAATGATACAATGTTACAGATTTTATCAGCATATCAAAATAACTCGCTGACGTCGAACGAAGTCAAAGTTGTTACTGTTACTAATCTCAGGTAAATCTATTCGATTTAGATATTTAATTTAAATTATACAAATTAATGGTATTTTTAGATAAAAATTTAATCAATACCTTCTACTATTAATTTTTCAAATTATTAAGATTTATTAAAGCACTAAAAGATCACTAATTATAATATATATCTATATTCAGACAAGGCAGTATTATTGCTGATTGTATCGTTACGGTCTTAAAGAATTACACCCAAGGAACAACTCTATTGAAAAATATTATCCAGACAGGAGCTGTTAGCAGCTATGTAGTGCAAAGTGTTAATGTCACTGGTAGGTTAAGATAGCACAGTTAGCTTCAGCTTATAAATTTAAGAAATAATATTTATGCTAACTTCGAGATAATGTAATAGACGAAAAACGTTCTATACAGTTAGAATTAAAGTTCTCCTAAATATATACAGATAATTTAAATTTTGGAGTCGATTTATTATAATTTAGCTCTTTATCTAGAAATAAATTATATGATATTCCCTATTAGTTATAATATCGGTTATATCACGATAAAATTTATTATCACATTTTATTTTCAGATTATAACGAATGTAATAACCCTCAAGATAATTCCTGTGTCGGAAATCAGCAATGTATAAATACTATCGGCTCTTATACTTGCAATTGCTCAGCTGGGTATCAATTTAATGCAACACTTCAACAATGTATCGGTAAGCAGCAATTAATAGTTGATTACATTTTTCTATAATTAAGTCTTCTTTTTAGCTGTAAATAGTGGATAAGCTAGCTAAGCAAGAATGATATATTTTAGCATAATAATATAGCGCTTTATTATATGCTGTAGCTTAACAGGTACTGCTTAACATGAAGTAATTTCTTACATATAGTTCAATATTTGACACGATGTACCTTTCATAATTACAGATATTAACGAATGCCAGAAATCAGCATCTCCATGTCATCAAAATTCAAATTGCATCAACACTGCTGGCTCATATCGATGTCAATGCAAGAATGGATATATTGGTGATGGAAAATTAAATTGCACCTGTAAGAACAGCATAGCTACAGCTTTTTCATATCAAAAAGCTTTGTTTAATTCTGTTATAATTAAAGGAGATGAATACGGATTCTTGTTTAGTAGATCTAACGGTTAATTTATGATATTTGACTTAGTGGTTTGTACACCAAATTACTGTTTTGGCCAAGGAACATGCTATGTAGTCAATAACGCGCCTAGATGCAAGTAAGTTTATATAACTAGTTTAGATTTTTTGACAGCATATATACTAAAATCGATGGTTTCAAGCTAATCTACTTTATTGCTACTAATTAACAGTAATCAAGATCGGTTTTATTGTTATCCTTAATCTAAGAATTAAACTTTAAGATTCTATATTTTTGATATTTCAGTTGTACGACTACAGGACCAGTTGGAAGTAGATGCGTACAAGGCAGTACTCCGCTATCATGTAAGTCAATAGTTTTACTGGTATTAATAGAAAAAGTGAATGACTCTCTTTAGTTTTTAATGTCGTTATAATCATAAATATGGACTATTATAGTACCTTCGATACTTATATTACTCATTTTACATATCCTAGCTGGTGCAATTGTTGGTATCTCTATAGGATCAATCATAGCTGTCTTACTTATCATTGGGTTTGTTTATCTATGGTTTCGCCATAGCAAAGCAAAAACGTAAGTAGATAGAAAACATACGTTGACGATGATTACTATTATCCTGCAAAATGTTCATATAATTTCAGCTATTGATTAATTTACTTGCAGGCAAAGATCTGTTACTCCTGATCAAGGGTTATTAACTGGTAGAAAATGTGAGTATAAAAGAATTATTGAAATATCAAAAATATTATTCTAGCGGTTGAATTTCCCTTAAGACGTGATGACAATAAAATAATTCTTGTAGTTAATAATGACTGATTACTTTGTTTTCTATTTTATTACTGTATTAGCTCCAACAACAGCGTATGACGATGACGATGGACAGGAGGTAAGCTAAAATAGTTATTAAATTTAATTAGTCTGTGAAAACAGATAATGTAGATTTTAGGAAAGACAAAAGCCGATTAAATTGCTTTCTGTTTTGTTGTTACACTAGCACCAATGCTAAAGATGAAGATTACGATCTCCTCTTTCGTTCATATTACATTCCTTAGCGTAAACAATAAGATAGCTATCAGGACCTGCGTATGAAATTTATTAATCGAATCAACTTTAGACCTTTTATCCGTACATTCATATTTCTTAAAATTGTTTTAACTAGTTCAATTTTAGACGATAGTAAATAGGAAAGTAATTCGCATTTCATTTCTCCTCTAATGACTTAACATAATTTTTCATAAGCCACAACGAGATTTACACAAGTCGATGCAGTCTTTAAAATATTACAGACTTCTAATCTCTTCCTATCAAATTGAGATATAGACATTAGCTGTCTGAGCTAAGATGATACAAGATAGATTTTATCTTTAATCTTGTTAGGCTAGAAGTCTTTTATAATAATAGTTAGAATATAAATAACTCATGTTTTGTGAAAGCACTGCATAAAATTGCAATATTCAATTGATAAGATTATTTTAGTCCTACGGTGCATGATATTAATATCTTTTCATATTGCTTCTTTGGTAACTAGGAAAATTGATTTGAAATTTATTAAGTAATTCATGATATCATTAAAATTTGACGATATCTTTCACGATCGACTTACCTATGTTTTGATATCTTAAATTTTTTACTTACTCCTAACTTTTAAATAAAATGTTAACTTGAACCTGATCAATATTTATGACCGATTCGATGTTATAAACTGTAAAATTCAAATCATTTTTGCATAATTAGGATATCATTTCGAATATGGCAATCTTAAAAACTGATCGATTTATACACACAAATAATCTGATCGAAGAGTAACGGTGGCTGACATGTTTGATACCTACAAAATAATATTAAATCTCATCCCAACGCAGTTACATAACGTATAACTGAGCACGTACAAATACTATACGTAGATTTTACTTTTCGATCGCTTTATATGTAGACGACAGAAAATTGTAACATATTGATATATTCTAGTACTGTATCTTAAGTTATCAATGCAAGGTCAGGTATGAAAAGTAGATAGAATAACGCACTTATCGGTAAAACTTACGCCAAAATCATGCAACTAATTTATGCAAGTCAATTAATATTATCTTGACTGCCGTATTACGTTGTTGCCCTTTATATTCATTTTGCAGGTAGAACCTATCAACATACGCACGCTCAATTCATACTAGCAGATATAAGAGATATAAGTAAATAAATTCCTTTAGCATATTTCCCATAAATAAGATCAAGTGTTTACACAAGAAGAAAAACCTATGTCCCAATTTCTTAGTCATACATGCGATCATTGAGTTTGCTTTACAAATCAATAATCACCTTGGTCTGGAAACATGACGTAAAAAAATTGCCGATTCATTTATGAACAGCTCGTGATTGAGACAGCTGTGAATGGAGAGTTATAATAGTGGACTTTAAACCTACAGATCTTGACAGAATTATATATGAATAGCATCAAACACTATCTATCTATCTATCTATTTATCTAATATAATACAGTAGAACAAGTACTTCCTATAGTGATATTATACATTAAAAAGCAAATGTCACATCTAACTAATAGCTAATTTAACTTATAATTTTTAAGATCAACTAGAATAGCAATACTTCGACATATTTGCTATTTGATAATTATTAATATAATCATTCACTATCCAAACAGCATATTCGTAATACTATTTTCACAATGTAGATTATTATTATTTCTTAGCCTAATTTTTGTAGGGCTGAAAAAATAAATCTTTCGGAATGGTGTATCATTTTGTAGCATAGATAAGAAGTACCCTTTAGTCTAATCTTAAGATAATTTGAAAACAAATTAATTGATACGCATATCCACGTATTATCGTATTAATTTCAGAGTGTAAAGGTTAGAAACCAATCAATTTAATTCTAATAAAATTCAAAACTAAAGGATATAATCTGTCGAAATGGAATTTATTGATTTCATAGCATAAAATATTGAAGTAAGTCAGTCTGATTTTAATAAATCTTAGAAGTAAATGGAATATCTGTCTTAAATAGAGTAGTATGAACTTAAGATGGAATATAAATGACTATGGCGTAATTTCATAGACCTTGTAGCGAATAAATAATGATTTTGAATACCATAAATATGTTTATTTAAAAGCAATGATAATAAATGGTAAGCAGGCCTAACTTCAGTTATCGTTGAAAATAAAATTAGACAACACGTTTGTATCAGCCAAATTCATAAGTTCTAGTAGCAAGGCGAAAATTCTATATGAATGTCATGCTTATGACACTAATTTCAAAATATGAGGTTTCATCGTAATAAAGCCTGTAAACAGATTGAACAGTCTGTCAGCTTGGCATATAAATAATTCATTCTACAGTAAAGAGAATCGATGCATTAGAAACAATTGCATACCAATCCTGCGTAGTCAATTTTCATAGCGTGATGTATTAGTACCGATCAGTCTAGGTTTTAATAAACCCTGGAAATAAATCGAAGAATCTGCCAGAATAAGCATGTTATTGACATAGTATAAGTATATGATAGACTAATGTGAGTATTTTTAGCGTTTAGGTTACATAACTTTCATAACTTTCTGTAAAGTAGTACAACAGCTCCATACTATTTACATAAATTCAATACTGTCTGATGTAGAAATAATTCAATTTACACGGACCATATTGTCAACCGCCTATGAACTTAGTCATCACCAACGGGAAGACTATTGTATATTAAACTCGAAAATGGGGCCAGTTCTACAACTGCCAGCTCTGATTACATCTTCAAGTTTGATATCGAATTACTTACTTCGACAATAAATACCAACATGGATCAAGAAATGAAGAGCAAGATTCTGAAAACCCTAACTTAATACCATTGTTAAAAATACGTAGTATAGCAATAAAGATCTAGATATTAAACTTTAATTCAGCGGTAGAGTTCCCTTTGAACGATATCGAAACGATATCACTTTGCATAAGTGTACAAGATTGGGGCTACGAATTAACCGATTTATTCAAGTTTCATCATGGCATATGCTAACCGACTAACTGCTTGTTCTGGTACGCTATGTCGATTGAAACCAATTAATGAAGATCAACCGTTTGCATCGTCTAATCTTTCCATTGGCTATGGGCATTTATTAGTTCTAGGTATGACAATATCTAGTTCAATCATTTCTGTTTATATGGGCTATGAAGGGAGCCAAGTTACCGGATCGTCTGTTGTTTTCTCCATTATTATATCGTGCTGTATTGCGTTTCTATCAGCGTTGTGCTATGCCGAATTTTCAACTCGATTGCCTAAAGTACAAGGCTCAGCTTATTCTTACACTTATATAGCTGCTGGTGAATTTCCAGCCTTTATTATTGGCTGGACATTAATTATGGAATACGTTGTTGGCATCGCGGTATGTGCATCAACCATCACGCAATATTTGAATACTGTTAGCGATGGCCAAATGGAGAAAGCATTTGTTACAATACTTGGCCCAATTAATATCCCTGGATTAAGTTCTTACTTAAATATTATTGCGTTTTTACTAACTTGTTTATGTGGTGTATTTGTTGGTAGTGGCATAAGAATATTATTGCCGCTGGATATTATGTCAGTTATGGCATTAGCTTCGATTCTATTTATTATAACATGTGGCGCTTTTTATGGTACTAGTGTTAGCTGGGATTCGTCAACTATTGTATTTACTCACAATTTTTATGGGGTACTTATTGCATCAGGTAGTATATTCTTTGCCTTTAGTGGCCTTGATATAATTGCAACAACTGGTGCTGAAGTCAACAATCCTGTTAAACAATTGGCTTATATCTCACCATTAATGATTATACTTGTATTAGTCGTGACAACAGTAACTACGGCCATTACTTTATCCATGTATAATGTAGTAGATTTACAAATTGCAGCACCATCGCAAGTCTTTATAATACGTAGTATTCCATTTGCTAATCTGGTTATTCTACCTGGCATTATAGCTAGTTTAATTGGTGGCGCATGTTGTTGTTTGTTTGCAATTATTCGAATTGCTATAACGATGGCTAAAGA